ATAATTTTTTATGTTGTACTTCGAAGCTATTGCTTTCTCAAATATCTATGTGAATCGATTTTTGTGGTTGGTAAGTAATACATAAGTTGTTTCATCAAAAGAATATTACATAAGTTGTTAATGTGCAGGCGCCTTGGTTGCATTATTGATTCATATCGCCAAACAAGGAAAAAAAAGAAGGTGAGAGTACTTGTGTGGAAGCTTTCTGCCTATGAGCTACACATCTTTGGCTTGCCCCTTGCACTTTAATTGTACTTTGTGCTTTAAGTCCACAATAGAGTTTGGCGCTTTTCTGTGGTTCTTGTTTTTGTTATATACTTTCAACGGATAGTATCTTTCTCCTTGCTTCTGCTGAGCATCTTCATTTAATGAAAGTATATTCACCTATTTTATGTTATCCTGGTTTATGATTTACTAAAGAACTGCTGGTATTATCCTATTTCACCTATTTTACAGAGTTGATATTGTTTGGGTAGAACTTGCATGAGTTAAACCATTCTCCATGGACTGAAATGTGTTCAGATTATGAAACCTATGTTCTCTGCATTCTTAATGTCAATTTTTTGAGCAGGCTTTGAATGTTGCTAATGATGTGCCGTTGCTAACTCCTGGTACTGAAAGCAAGAAGAATGCAGGCAGCAAAACAAAGTTATATAGTGTAAGTTGGTGCTACTTCAATTGTAGTCCGGTACACTAATCCTCGACTCTTTCTCTTCTCTTCTGTAGTCATCTTATTTCAGAGGTTTTTTTCACACTGTCATCTAAGTTCTGCTACGTTGTACGTTGTCATCTCCTTCTAACTAAACATTAGACTTTGCCATCTCTAATCACTAAGATCCAATCACATTATCTGAAAGAAAATAATTACTTCTGAAAGAACGAAATAGCCCTTCCTTGTAAGTAAAACTTTTAAAAGAGAAGTTATAAGCGAAGATTCACGTTTGCGTTTATTTTGCTTTGCTAAATTAGTCCTTTTCACCCTGCATGACAACCATTTTGGTCTCTAAAAAGTGTTCACAGAGTGTCATTGTGAATGGCAAACTGCAGCGGAAGTTTAGTACAAAGTGAACCTACGAAGCATGCATGGCAAAGTGATAAAATTTGAAAAACTAAATCTTAGTATTTACTTCATAACACCTGTCTATGCTCAAAATTTTGGCAGGGGAAAGCAACTGACGATCTGATGACTCCAATAATGTAAGTTATTTTTATCACATTTAGACCCCCTTTGCATGATAATAAATGGAACTCTAGCTAAACGAAGTATTTTTTTATGAAGGACCACGCAGCATAATTCAACTCCAAAAGGAGTGCACCAAAATAAAGGGATCAAGGTTGAAGGTTCAGAATCTGGAGAAGACGAAAATCCAAGGAGTTTGACAACAACTATAAAGGTGTCGCCCGAAGATGGTGATGTGTCCAGTGAGCTGGTGGATGTGCATGGCTATAAAGTAAAAGTGAGCAATGCTCCTATACTTGCTGCCATTTTTGCCAAGTATGGTGACATTGCAGTCAACTGTCAATGTAAATCAGTGGCTGCCAGAGCTTCCCTGCTTGATGTTGTTAGTGATGTTGTCAGGCGGCTGAAAACCAGTGATGTTAGTTTTTCTTCCATTAAAGCCATGAGATCTGTAGTCTCTGATGCTGTGGATGCCAAGCTTGATGTAGCTTGGTTGCAACAATATCTTGATGAGATTTCTGAAGAGGAGGATATGGAGAAAAAGTCTTCTTTACTAATGGCGTTAAGAGAGACTACCAAGCTCGTCTCTAAAGCAGCTAAAAAGGATTTGGTAGAAAGGAACAATGAGGTCTTAGCAGCAGAGAAACGACTCAAAAAGGCTGAAAGGCGCTTGCAAGAGGCCCAAAACCGAGCGGGAGAGGTGCAAAGATCTGTCAAAGTATTTGAAATACTGGGTGAAAAAGTTCAGCAGGACATCAAGGAGGCGAAGGATCAAGAACAATATTGGCTGAGTAGGTTGAGTGAGCTTTTATTGCCTACAACTGTTTTATCCCTCTACTAATCTTTCTGAACACTAAGACGGTTATCTTGACATGGTGTATTTATGTCCAAGACATTTTAAAATTTGTGAATGATCATCATGAAGCTGGCAAAATTGCTCATGGTTGAATTTTATTTTGTACATGATGGTAAATCTTACTCTTTTTGTAAACATTCGCATTTTGTGTAGCATCGAGTTTGTCATATAGCAAAAACTAAACTGGAATTTTTGTATGTAATGCTATAACACTTGAACAGTTCAGTGTCTATTGTATTCTGCTTAAGGTAATATTGTGTTCATCTGAATCTGGTATTTTTGTTTGGTGATGCTTGAGATAATTAGATTTGCATTTTTATGTGTATTAATTAACTATGACTTAGCAATAAAAGTGTAAGAGTTATGTATTAATTGGGTTGATAGAAATATCGCGTGAAGATGAATATTTATTTTTACTTTCAACAAACAAGACGATTGATCTTATTTTTATCTTTCAATTTTTATTTGGAAAGGATATTTTCTAAATTACCTCTTACATGAATTCTCAACTTTTATCTTTTTACTAACAACAAACAATTAGGAATTAAAAAAAAGTGGAAGCACCTTAACCGCGTCACGGTCAAACGATCCAAAAATGAATAAATCGTCAAAAAAAAAAAAAAATTAAAAAAATGATTAATCTATAATTTAAAGAGAAATAAAACATGGCAATTTATACAACTAATCATTTAAATGTAGTATTATTGACTTACATGGGCAAAGCCATAGAATATAGAATATATTAAACAAATCAGTTCGAATAAAATAAAAGTGAAACACTAGCAATAATTAAAAATTATGAATAGTAGTACATATCAGTTAAACGATCACTGTCCTTAACTGGCAAATTATTTTGTCACTTCCCTGAAAAAACAATGTAAAAATAAATTGAACAATATTAACTTATAAAGCATCAATCATGGGTTAGAAGTGAAAAAGCTCTTGTAGCTTACGAGCAAAGTTTCTGACTGTTACTTTTGGGATTATGAATTGCAACATTCAAAATTCAGGAATAATGGACCATCCATTTATACTTCTTCTCCACTTAAATATCAGGCTAATTTGAAACTTTAAGGTACAAAATAAAATAAGAGGCCTAGCAAGTGAATTTGTTAAATAAGAGACTCTGTCTTTGCCATATATAATTTGTGAGTGATGTGTTTTGTTTGAGAATGTTTTTTTCGTCTCCATTGAGTTTTTTAAACCAGTTATTGACCACCAGTCCACACGTATTTTCATGTCTCACATAGTAAAATTAGAAAGTAAAAAAATTAAGTATAAAAACCAAATACAAATTTGTAAAGAAAAGGTTATATACACCTCCGTCGTATATTTCCTACCACTCAAGGATTTACCAACAGTTAAATTTCAGGAAAAAGAAAAGATGATTTTTTTCTCCATAATTGAAAACAATACAAGGACAAAAAAAGTAGGTATGTAACAAGTGGGGATTGATTCATATTACTTTGGATAAATGATTCAAACATTCAACCAACTGCACCATTATACATTTTAGAACAGAAAATATAGAACAATTCTAGGAAATATGTACATAAAATACCCAATTTGGCGCAAAGACCGCGGGTTCACGTGAACCATAATAAACATATGGGCTCTAGGATGGACCATTTAGTACTACTTGCTACGTAAGTTTCGGAAATAAGACGCATGCACAGACGCCATAGTTTTATATATGATGATTAAAAACAAAGGTTCAGGATGTGGAAGCATGTATCCTATTTCAAGTATATGTGATGTGAGTGTGAAATCAGCCATTAATATTTGTGTCAAGTAGACCACCTTCATTACGAAGGCCCTTCCCTGAACCCTGTATGAATGCTTCGTGCACTAGGCCGTCATGTGTAGGGAAGCAGGAAGGTGAAAGCAAGATCAAATTAGAGCATCTTATTCTCCTCATTGAAACACCTAGCTGTTTATTTCAATTCAATGTTCCACATCTCTATTTTTTCCGAAAAGAACATTAGAAAAGGGAGGGTATGGGAGAAACGACCAGATATTAGGAACATAAACAACATCATTAGCTGAAACGACAGAAAACTCATCCCCTGAATCTCAAGGAAAGACTCTCCATAATTTAATTGGGATGTTTACACCATGGTACATAATTAGTATTTAATAACATGATACACATTTCGCCATGGATCAGCCATTGAAGGGCTACTACTACTAGTAGTCTACTACTATCAGTTGGTAACTCTATTTTTTCAGAAAGTAGAACGAATCCACTAGTATCTGTTTGGCCCAATAGACATCTCAGTTTCCTTTTGTACACCATCTCAGGATGTTAGTTTAAATACATTTCATATAACTCAAACTTATGCGACACCCATTGTTTTGATCCTTAGAATAATTCTCCATTCTATTCGATTACATGTATGCTCATTAAACTTTATTTCACTTTAATAAGAAAAAGTCACAAACACTATTTTTTTGCCCCATTAAAGTAACTAAACTTTACTCACTAATTTTGTGACTTTGTATATAGTGGATATTATATGTGAAATTACGCTCCACCAACTACCTAAGTCAATATTCGGGCAACAGATACCATCTTGAAATGCGTGTTCTCTTTTTCTTTTTGTAATGTCTAAAAACTATCTACAATCTCCAGATAAAAAGTTCTAATACACTTCAAAAACTACAGAAAGCCTCATCCACATTTACTCTTCTTAATATACTATTCAAGACTTTAATTCCACAATGCAAAAGGTCAATAAAGATTATCACATTGGCATGAAGCTTACTAATTCTCTGGTGTTTAGATTGAAGCACTAAACTCTAAAGCATAGTTAGGAAAGGAAGGCATTTTTCATCTTCGTGTATAGGTGCATTATGATATCGACTGTAAGGATTCACATGAAAACATGAACTAGTGTACAGGTGGGTAATAAGTAAAGGCGAATAATCATTTCAGCATCCTCCTAAATCTTATAAGCGAACAACTAAGAAATAATAACATGGCCAATTTTATTATCCAGTGATTCCCAATGTAGTTTCCTTAAATATAAGCAACTATATATCAGAAAGAATAGATATATTTGTTCATAATGCAAAACATAATATCAAAGTTGAAAGACAACAGAACTAAGTAGAACAGACATACATCAAGAGTGTGATTTGATTCAACAATGATTTTAAATTTGATGTGTGAGGGCGAGGGATGAAATCTTTGTCAATCATGGCAAGGGACAACTATGAGGTGAACAAGGCAGCAGAAGAAGAAAGCAACCATAACTTTCTGAAATGAAAAGAAACCAGAGGGTACAACCTATGTCAGCATAAAATTTAACTGTCCAAGCGAATTCATTCACACCTGATTGAAAAGTGGAGTTCCGTCTGTCATCAGATGAAAACCAAAAAGAATTATAAATCTCTTCAAAAATAATCGGCAGGGAAGAATCTCTTCCAAATTGAGTAGACTAGAGTCCAGCACTCAAAAATATACTGGAGTGATGTTGCTTCCGCATTGAATCCACTAGATTTCAGTGTCAAAAAGACGGATTGTGACATTTGAAACCATTCTACGGGCAAAAGGAATATAACTTAAACTGTACCTGAAAACCAGACAATATAGCAAAATAGTAAGGATAACTCTGGTTGGTTGTTGGGAAGTTCCACGCAGATCATTTTTGAAAAAATTCTTTTCTCAATCCTCAGTTTCTTTAATTTTCAGAAGAAGTATAAAGTGCATATATCTGTCAACAAGAAAACTTTCCTCTTCAAGATCACTTTACATTAAGTGTAAAGGAATCACCTAGCAAGCTAACACCACTTTGTCTTAAGTAGGACCTACAAAATCGAGTGAAGTATACTGTTTATAAACGTGTGTGCAGAGGAAGAGGAGCAATGGGCCGGTATGAGATATGGGTTTAGTGACTTAACTCACGAGACAGATGTGGTAGTGAGGATTGATACGCAAGTCATTTCCAAGAGATGAAGTTTCAAGTATCTTAGGTCAATAATCCAAGCATATGAGAGAGTGATGATGATGTTACACATCGTATAAGAGAGAGGTGGATGACATGGAGGCTCACATCCGATGCCTATTGTGATAAAGATGTCCCACCAAGACTTAAAAAGATGTCACTCAAAACCTCGCACGTCTAGAAGATGAAAGTAGTGAAAATGAGGATGCTGAGATGGATGTGTGGCATACAAGAAGAGATAGGATCGGGAACTAAGATATTCTGGACAAGGTGAGAGTGACCTTTGTGGTGGACAAGATAAAGGAAGTGAGGCAAAAATGATTTGGGCTTGTGAAGATGAGATGCCCCAATGAGAAGTTGTGAGATGTTGGCTATAGTGGGTCTGAAGGAAGGTAGATTTAGTTGAAGAGGTATAGGGGAGAGGTGACTATGCAAGGCATAACACCGGACTTATCAAGGACATGACCCTAGATAGGAGGATATGTAGGTCGATAATCAGGAAAAAGGATTAGTAGGTAGTCAAGTGATGTTTAGTTTCCTTATCAATGTTGGTACTATTACTCTCTTAATGAGTTATTGGCTAGAATCATCCCTCAACTATGACTCAAATCTAATATACATCCTTATATTATCTAAATGAGCAGAAAACATCCTTATACTATACGAAAAATAACAAGAATTATCCTTCAATCTATTTTCTTTAAGAAACTAATTGAATCAATAAAAAAATAATTTGACCATGTCTTACCACGACGAGAAGATCAAAATTACCTAAAAATAATAAGGATATGGATAGGAAATGAATCTTTCATTCTTGAAATTTAAATTTTGCGTGTTGTCAATTTATATGCTTTTTGCATCCTCAAGTAAATTGACTAGCAACAATACATAAGTTTTGAAATATTTATAAGTAGGTTCCGATGGTAAGAAAGATTATGTAAATAATTATTTTAAAAAATGTTGGACATTTAGTGAAATTACGTAGGTGTTTAATTATGAAAATAAAATAAATAATTATTGTATTCGAAAATTTGAAGTTGGAGTAGTATTTGACCATATTTTTACAAAAATATTTGGAATTTGAATATTTTGTCTAAATATGATTTAAATCTCAATTTCTAAAAAAAAAAATCACTTGACTTGACTATCTTAACCATGTGTACAAATATTCATTCGACTTGACACATTCAGTTTTGTTGTTTATGGGGTTTTTTTAAAAAAAAAACTAGACAAAAGGATGAATCTCGTAACTTTTTGGATAGTTCAAGGATATTTTTATTCACTTATATAACACAAGGATGTACTTTAAGTATAGGTCATAGTTGAGGGATAATATTAGCCAAAAACTCCTCTCTTAATATAATTTCTTTGATTTTATTTTTAGTGTTTGTCTCCTTCATTTAAGTTATTGTATTACTTGTTGATACCATTATCTTTTCCATTATTTTAGGCATAGTGACATTCATTTTTGTATTCTTTCACTATCAGACGTGCTTTGATATGCTTTACTTGAGACAAGGGTTTATCGGAAACAACCTCTCTATCTTTGCAAGGTAAGGGTAAGGATTGCGCACACACTAGACAAACCCCACTTGTGGCATTACACTGGATTTGTTGTTGTTGTTAAAAGAAAATAAAGCATGATCGTCAACTGCAGATAAACTGGTTAGCGGAGAATAACGATGACCAGTAGCACACTGAAATCTGATTAAAGGGGGAGTATGTAGTCCTTAAAAACTAAGGTTGCTTTCTTTGTTGGTCTAATTCGCCACAAGGTGGAAACAGAACATCGGCTCTCATTGCTGCTTGATAACCTATGTCAGTTGCGTTAAGCTTTCAGTTTTGCACAAATTGCTGGTGGGTGTTGCTCTTTTGCCCATCTACCAACCTACCTCGTTCACATTGAGCCGGACAAGAGAGACTGGAGACACTCTTTAAAGTTAACAGAAGCAATTCCTTTCTCACCCTTTCTAATGTACTAGCTTCAAAGTCTTACCATCTCGTTGTTGCCTTCCACACAAAAAGACTGGTCACTTCCTTATTTTGAACTTGTCTCTTAACTCAAATTCTCCTCTAAAATGGTACAGCAGACGATGCAGTGCTGCCTATGCATTAATTAGCTTCTAAAGCCTTAAGTTCAAGCTTTGAAGCTAAGTTTGGTTGTTAGGTGAGGAGAACTGAGAAAACGATGAGAGTAGTTTTTGTTTTCCAAATGTAGTGGCATGACCACAATGAACTAACCAGATTTTAGAGATGCTTTTTTTTTTGGATAACTCAGAGTCTGAACATTCCTTACAAAATTACTAAGAATAATTCAAGCTTCAATGAGTTGAAAGCTGAAGTTGAAAATTAACTCATCAATCTGAATACTTACGATTTACTGCATGTACTAAGAAAACCTGATCATGGAATCTCAACATTGTTAAGCAGCAATTTAAACATCCATATCTCTAGTTTCCGGTTCATCCTCAATCCAGTGACCTGGACTACCTCAACCATTCAAAAAGCAAAAAAAAACCACCTACATCCTCCCTTTGACATATGAGTGCTCCTAATATAGCAACCCCTTATCACTATTCTTTTACCTATTTAAGCATAAAACCATCCGATCTACGGGTGCTAAGAAATCACAGATGGAGACCCTTTTCAGCACTTCCTAAAATTAACTAATTTCAGGCCGACATGACATACGTATGGCAGGTTTAGGCACCAAAAAAAGTTGTTCAAAGAACATGTATAAAATATTGAAATAAAATAATCAAAAGTATACTACTAAGCGAAAGTGGTGATGTAACTTCAACAGAGGTGTTAAGCAGATCTCAGTGTTATCTTTGCATTAATTGATGAGTGTCTTCGTACCTCATCTACTACTATGACCATGTTGAGATATCCTTAAAGAAAAAACAAGTTTTTCGATGATACTTCTGACCCAACTTTGGTTGGCAAGCAACCAAGAAAGGTCTATAAACCACAAAATAAGATATTTGTTAATACATTTTCCCCTTAATTCCTTACTGTAATTTGTGCAATTAAATTTGAATTTCAACTTTACATTTGAGATGGAAACACACAGTTTTATCCTTACACTACAACCCTGTCATCTCCTATCCTACTTTTGGGCTAAAATGTAACTTGTAAGGTTAAAAAGAATGTAGATTGTAGAAAAACAGTACATGCAAGAAAAACTATGCTAGATAGATAAGGAGTTAAGCAACTGACCAGACAAGGGCACATATCTCGCATATGATTGCAAGTAGAGTCAGAATCTTACTGTGGATCTGCAGAAATACGTAAACAATAAAGAAAAGAAAGATTGTACTTCAGATAACAATGATCAGTGCACATAACATAACAAGGTAGAGTGAATAGTGACATATATCTTTGACACTTGGACCATGTGAAGCAGCAAGGAGGACAGTAAAAGGGACATCACTGTTTTGCATCACATAGTAAGAAAATAATACGCTTTTAGGATAAGATTTTCAACATTGACACCTTGAAACTACTACTAAGCAAAATTTATCTCGCTAAGTTCATCTTCTTCTCATATCAAGAGAGGGTTTCTTGTCAAACCGGCCATAAATAATAATAATAAAAATAATACTACTAACAATAATAATAATAATAATAACAATAATAATAATAATAATAATATCTTTCTACTTTCTAGATATCTTCTCTCAAGAAGAAATGAGAGTTCAGTTGATCTCTTGTATATCTAAGGAAAAAGGATACTGGGACGCAGAATGAATTTTTCCTTGTAGTAGATTTTTAACAACACTACATGTATTTACCTATAACTACAACTTCCTCGTAGAAAGGACTCCTACAGGATAACCTTAACCTTGAAAAGGAGACTAGGCAAGGAAGAAGATATGTCTACTGCAGTTAATGAATTATCGCATTGTTGTGACATGCCCTTAAAGGATGAGTGCAAATTAAAGAAAAGAGTACTGCGGTTTCCTAGTATATCAGAGGAAGTGAACTCTAATATATAATCCATCTTATGTTACTAATTCAGCATGTTTTTTAGGAAGAGGATCACTCCAACAGATAACCCATTGTATAGAAAAGACACTTACCCAGAGTGCACAAATGAGAGCTAAAACAACGCATCCAACATACATGGATGTGGCATAGGCACGAACTGGATCCATCATCATTGAAAGTTGCTGCATAGGTCCAATGAGAAAAGCTGTGCTGCAATGAGAATATCCAAGTTCAAAACACAATAAACTGTAAGATGAATGAAATTCAAACACATGGCTTACATACAACAACATAAATCTACCCGAGATACTAAAAAACTAGTTATACTTGAAGAATTGGAAAATTTGGAGCAACACCGTGCAAAAGCAATTTGTTGGTATTGGTTTGAGAGACACATATCTATTTCTAAACCCAACCTTCTAGCAACCAGACATAGAAATAAATTGGCTAGAATTAGAAATGAGAGGAAATAAAGGGAAATAAAAGAAAATGGAGAAAAGGTCATATTTTGACTTTAAAATGCACTTCTTCTTTCTTACCTTATTCCTTCAAAACAATATATCTCGCGAGAATTCATTTTTCACAATGCAGAGTTGAAGTAAAACCGAATCTTTAACAATTTTAAAATGGTAACAACCAACTACATGGTTAATTAATTCCAACAATTCATATTTCTATACACAAGCAGATTGTGGCATACCTTCCAATGGCCAACATGTTGCCAAAAGTAAATAACAAGGCAAATTTGATGGGCTTGATGAACACGATCATTGACTGCAGAATAAGACATGGGAATAAGTGGTCATAAAGGGAAAAACAACAATCAGCTAACGAATTTGTCATAAAAACAGCAGTAGAATGATTACAGCAACTGAATAAGTGATCATACCAGGAACATACAAATAAAGCCGGCGAGCAGACAAGCCGCGAAACCATAAACTCTCTACTCATCAAAATCCACAAAGTCACCATAAATCATCACCTTGGGTTTTAGGAGAAAAAAATTGGATCTTGTCCATAAAAACAATACCTGTAAAGGGGACACAGAGCAGAGGGCTTCTTGGTCACCAAACAGATTATCTTGCTGCTCTTCATTCTCCCCCAAAATGGATTCACTTAGCCTCCACATTTTGTTGAGAGTTGGGTTATTACTCAGCGGATCATCAATACCTTATACCCTACCTGAAATTTCAACAAATTATTGCAAATAATCAGAGCACAATGATAAATCCTTGAGAAGAAGTCCAAAATAGTTCCTTATTCTTGGGTTAAGACTCAAAATAATCCTTTAGACTTTCGCATGGAACACTAATAGTTGTTTGCAATATTGTGCACTTTTGGTCGTCCCCAAATTTTTGTTTATTTTTAGAGGAATTGGCACATATATACTCTTAGATAAATTGGCACCAAATAAATATTTAACAAATAAAAGCGTATAAAGAATTGGCATATAATAGCCATAAGTCTGTTTTGCACAAAAATGGGAAAGAAAAATCCTACACCCACCTCTCTCTTCAAATTTTTTTAATTTAAAATATAAAGAATACTTACTACAATCTCTCTTTTAACTCCCCACCATTTTGTCAAGCCCCGAGCCAAGAAGAGCGGACAAGAAACCTATGACCACATGTTATACAATTGACCTGTACTAAGTGGAGAGAAACTACTATTCATAAGACAAATACTAAAGGACTATACATAGACAATATTGTACATCTAGCCGCACAACTTCAATAAACAACTGAGACTATTACTACACAAGATAATTTACGTTCTCCATGAAGTCTGTAATAGAATTTGTAGCTATACTATGACGTATGATCAAGCAGGGCATCGACATACCCAAATTATAATTATAAGTATGAATAAAGAGTACTTGACATCCATTTGCTCCAGATAAATGGGGAGCTCACCAACTGGTTTGTTGAATATATAGTGGGTTCCTAACATGAAAGTTTGCTAGCCTGTAAACCTAGTACTGCATTCTACAGATATATGGGGAGCTCACCAACTGCTTTATTGAATATATAGAGGGTTCCTAACATGAAAGTTTGCTAGCCTGTGAACCTAGTACTGCATTCACAGAATGCAGCGCCCCCAAACATAGGGACATCAGTACATATAAAAACATATACTGGTATGTAAAGCAGACAGAATATGTAGGCACACATGGATGATCATATGAATCAGATTTCAAAATGAAAGACTTATGAGCGTACAAGTAACAAATATACAATATTGAACTCTAACCTATATACTAATCTTATTAGCATATCATACTCCAAAGTGCTAATGATGAACAACTATGGATAGACAATCAGAAACTTCAATACGAAATTAAACTCATAAATAACTTCATTAGCTTAACATATAATGTGTTATACCCTGTTCGTTATTTTAGATCACCAGATAGTTTGCCTAAGTGGTGTCCTGGCAATTTTTAATACAAATGGTCATATGATGGCCTAAAAAGGGGATCTATGTTAATATATGGCATGTGTTGCATAAATACTCAAAATTATGATTTCATACACATAATTTTAATCGAGGTCTGACACAAGGGCGCCCATTGTGGGTTCGCATGTGAGGGTCTTGCCCGCAGGCTATATGTGTCATATATTGGCTCGAGTCAGGGAAACAATACATGACATTCCAGCTAACTCCAAATGCAAATGATGCCACAAGGGTGAGTACACCACAATCTTTAGGCTCATTATAATGGTCTGGCATCAATCATGTGCACAGAATCACGCATATGTGTCAAGTAAAACCTATGAATACCCTCCCCCGGTAAGGGTAGAATTTATCAAGTGATTCCTTCAAGGCCTATGACAAGTAGATAATGATAAAATCATTTTTCCTCTCAAGTATAATATTTGTATAACAGTTGACTTCTTTAATCATGCTACCCAATTATGACAGTGTTCGTTCTTAGTTTATTTTATGCCTATGTTGCCAGTGAAATCAAATATACAAGTGGAACTGCCATTTATTCTCATATATAACACGTGACAGATATACCACATGACTTATAAGGATTTCGAGCAAAGACACTTACAGTCATGCAAAACATTACGAGTACTCAACTCGAAGGAGTAATATGAATATTGTGACTTCAATAAATAGACGTAAAACGTGAAGACAAGAAAGTTAAAGTGGGACGAGAATATAGATATTTTACCATATTAGACATATCGTCCTGTGTTTGGCTTGTAGAAAGTGGAGGACATATTCACATATATCAAGTAAACTATAATATATTGACTCTTTTAGGAGAGACAAGTGACTAAGTAAGGTTGTGCCTTAACGGCGAAGAAGGTTTAAGCTTTACATACCTTTGGTACCTTCCTAGCTAATCGAATCTTTACATAGGCTACTATTACCTTTTATCATACAATAGGGCAACATTTTACTACAAAAATAATGTATACTTGCATCAATAACTCGTAGATCATTTAATAATTTACCCCAAAATTATTCACTTATGTTCAAACCAAATCAAGTTCCTTAACAATCATTTGGATCAAATTTTTTATTTTTAACTTACAAAAGTTCGAAACTAAATCTGCCCCATCAATAGAAACACCCAAAAACTCCAGCTTTTATCATAATTTCATCTTTTCCCCTTCTCAAGAACCCTAATTAACCAGACCCATTTCAAGAGCTTGAATGGAATTCAAATCAAATGGTGACTACCACTATATAATACCTCCCAAATATGTAATCTATGATTGAATTCGAGTAATGGTAGAGAAATTACCTAATTGAAAACAAATTTCAAGTTGAAAATCTTGATAAATTTCCACAATTCTTGAATACTGATGGACAGGTATCTATGAGGTATGGCCACTGTATGCCCTTATTCTTTAAGAATTATTGATAAACTTTTGAGTTCTTCTCACGTTGAAGGCAGAGAGTACTTGTGAAGAGTCTCTTAAATAAAAATTATTGATCTAAATATTTTATTATATTATTTATTAAATGATATTTAGTTAGATTTTAAAAAATAATTTGGAAAATACTATTTAATGTTAAGGATAAAATATGAAAATAAATGATTTTATTTTTTTGATAAATTAAAAACGATAAATAAAAATAAATAGCAAGTAAAAAGTGACCATATATTGTAATAATGACTCACTCACCAAATATCGATATGATAAGTGACGGATGAAGTAATAATGCCTCTTCATTAAATTTAAGACTTTTGTATATAAAAGACTGAATATTAAAACGTGCATTAAGATTGAGATGTCAAAATCGAAAAATTAAAAATACATATGAATATAAAGATGTAATTTATTTGTCTAAACACTAAATCTCTAAGATTATTTGTTTTCTTTGAATGTGCTTATTATTTTATTTTATTTTTAAATAAAAAATTTAAACAACACATCATTAAAAGTTATTATTCAAATGAAGATAAGTTCTTTCGAAAATGTTTTCAAAAATAAGATTATAACTCTTCCATATAAAAAATAATTTATTTATTTTCTTTAATATTTTTTTTTCTCGAGAAATAATGATAGCTTCTTCAAAGTGAGTTTTGCCAAACGAATTGTTGCAAGAATCTGTTCATAAATATCACACACCCAATAATATAAAAATATTAGATAAACACATGTACAAATTTAAGAAAACTTATTCAAATGAACAAAAAAAGGTATAACTAGGAAGAAGATAACTTGTTTAAGAAAATTATCGTGGTGTATTGATGAGAATTCTTTAAGATTTTGAGTTTAAGCATTGAATATAATGAAAATTTTATTAAAAATGTCACCTATTTAATAGAAACTTCAAATATAAACTTCGGACACCAAATAAAAAGAAATAATCAAACTTATACGTCATTTTAACCGCCCCTGTTTTCCCATTTAATTACACTTTGACCATCCCTGTCATCATTTCCTAAAATTTCATCATAATAATCACTCTTAAACACTTTCTCTCCCATAACCAACGACCCCAAATAATGGCGCGAGGCTCTTCTTCCCAATCCACCTCCTCCTCCACCACTCGCCCAGGGACCGCCGCACCCCGTGGCTCTGCCGCCGCTACGGCTGGTATGCGCCGACGCAGGCTCGGTGCTTCTTCCTCTGCGGGTGGTGGTGGTGGTAACGCTGTAGTAGGCTCCGGAAACGCTAGCAACATGCTCCGTTTCTATACCGATGATTCTCCAGGTCTGAAGATCAGCCCGACTGTCGTCCTTGTGATGAGCCTATGCTTCATCGGATTCGTTACTACTCTCCATGTCCTAGGCAAATTCTACCGGTACCGATCTGGCTCTGGCTCCGGAGCCTGATTATTCGATTTCGGATCATGGTGATTTTGAAACCCACATCATACAGGAAAAATTTAGTTTGTTTTAATTTCAGTTTTCGTTTCACGATCGTTTGCTGGTTTTGTTTCCGTTTTAGTTTTAGATGGCTGAATTTGACTCAGGAAGATGATAAAAGAAGCTTGGGAGTTTTGTGCTTTTTGTTTGTTCTAATCAGTAATGCATAGTTTTTGTTCAGAAAAGGAATATTAATTCGGAAATTCGATCCATTTTAGCTAGTATATTTATTCGTTTCTCTTCTATGCTTTTCATGTGCTTATGAATGTGATTCAGCCAATGTTTCGCAGAGAATTGTTAATCCTGAATGCTTAAGAAGATTTGGATTCATATGTGATCAGTGATGAATGATGATTTATGAATACGCTGAGAAGCAATCACCACAATTGATCACAGGCACTTGTAATTGTTCGTAGTTATAACACATGCCTTCTAATTGATTTTGGACGCACAGATTTTTCTATTTGTACGTTAATTTTTCTATATTGATTTTGGACTAGAGCAAATTGGAAAACTGTCCTATTTTCCATTCTGCTTCGTATTCTTCAATCTATATTTATGTTGTTTTTTCCAGTTTAATTCAACGCACTTAATTAATTCTCAAGTCCAAATCCCACAGTAAACACTCTGCCCTCCCTCTCTATCTATCCAAGGAATGGAAGGGCAGAGGCTTTGGTGTCCCTCAGTCAAGAATTGGGGCCTCATAATCACTAGCCTAAATACTTTTCTCTCGTGTCTTTCTTCGTTCATGGTTCAATATTCTGGTGTTCTAGGCGTAGAGGAACCACACCAATCCATCTCAAACTTGGTGGTTAACTCTACTGCGATGACGATACTGTAAGGGAGATCCTGCGGAAAAATAGCTCGACGCCAGCATGATAAAAAGCTTAACACCTCTCATTTTTATTACTTTTTCAATATGAAAATGTAAAAAAATAAAAAAAAGATCGTTTTATCCAAAACCCCAATTGTGACATCCCTTCACTCCTCGGAACGCATCTTTTTTATAGACTTATAGAGATAAACACGCTTTCACATCTTCTTAACCCGAAATGACTGGGAGAGGAAAGGTTTCATGGAACGTTTAACAAAGTTGATTGAGATTAGCTTCTGGACATATAAATCATAGGGAAGAAGAAATAAAAAACTTTCTTCGTTCCTTTTTAGATGTCATGATAATATTTATCACAATTATTAAGAAAAAATTACTTTAACATTTTAGATTTACGTCTCTTAAGAATACTATGCAATTTTATCATTGTACTCTTATTTTATATTTTTTTGAACTCAAGTTTTCAATAAATAAATATTTATTTTAATTAATTAATTGACCTTTGAACATGAATTAATCATTTAATTTTCCTATATTAATTAGATTCATACTTTCAATGCTAATGACTCTAAGGGATAAAATAAAAAAATAGCGTCATTTATATATTAATTTTGCGAAATTCCAAACTTTAAAAACTATTTATTTTTAATAAAGATGACATCAATATATATATATAAATGAGGACCATAGAGGAGGTGATGTGGCACCTCTATATGGCCTCCATTTGCATTTAGCTTTTTCCATCTTTTTCTTTTTTAAAAAATTATATATCATAAAAAATTACTTAAATTTATTACAAATAAAAATATTTTATTAATGGTGGGTCATTTATAACAAAAACTCTTCATATTTTTTATTTATTTATCTCACACTTATAATTAAAAGAGAAACATAATTTATTTATTTTTTACTTTTTTTAATTTAATTTAATTATTTTATTGTAAAAATATATTGCTTCATTTATACAAATATACAAATAAATACTTTATTAATGTATGAATATTTATAATAAAAAACTCTCTATATTTTTTTCTATTTGTTTATCTCACTTCTAATCATGAAATCATAGTAACTTTTTTTTTTTTTACATTTTAAGTATTTTTATTTTTATTTTAGAATTTATTCACTACGAGTTACTACCCATGACTTGCCCCTCTTTAATTTTAATATTCATGACTTTCATAATTTTTATATTCATAACCTCCAATTTAAATTCATAAGTTTATGTGTCTTATGGAATTCCTCTATTTTGCCTATAAATTTATATTAGTTTCATGAAGATTGACAGTCACAATTATTCTTTTTGTTTTCATCATATACGTTTGATTTGTAACAAAAAAAAGAAGTACATGAAGGCAAGAAATACTTCATTGAAATTTTTATTTTTTATTTCCTCTATTTTTGTCTATATAAATTCATATTTGATTTGTGAAGGAAATTAACATGTAACCAAAAAAAAAAAAAGTACATGAAGTTAATAAATATATCATTCTCAAGTCTTTATTTTTTCATTTCCTTTATTTTGTCTATATAGATTCATATTTATTTTCATGAAGATTCACATACAAAGTTATAATTTCTCTTCTTCATAATACTTGTTTAGAAATTAGCTAACATGTAACAAAAAAAAGTATATGAAGGTAAGATATATTTCATTCTTAAGTCTTTA